AATTAACAATTGTTTCGCTACACAGTAGCTTCTTCAGAATTCTAATTCTGAAGAAGCTACTGTGTAGCGAAACAATTGTTAATTATTAAAAACATAAATAAATTAGTGAAACTTTAAAACAGTGTTGTTTTTATTCATATATTAAGGTATGTAAAACTTTTTTAAAATTTTTGTTATGGAATTCCTTTTTTTTCGTTAAGAAAGAAAAAAATACTTAGTTTAGAATAAATTTGACAACCTTTTAATTAAAATAGTTTTCTCACAACGTACATAATGAATATTTTCTTTGCAAAGGTATAAGTTTACAAATTAATTCCTTATTAAAAAGTTTCTTAACAAAAGTCTAACTTTCCAAAAAAATGCAGTATAATGTTAACTATTGTAATTAAAATCTTAATCATAATAATTTAACGGTTGTTCTAAGATTGTAGGTCAGTCCCATTCTTGATTATTTTAAACAATATACTTATCCACAACCTACATTACAACAAACACACTTAAGTGGGTATTCTTAATTTTTTGCAACAAAATAGTTTTTTCTCAGGAGAGTATTATGCAAGCGCCCACCTAAATCTGGACATTTATTCTTCATTGTTTATTAATTTAAAAAGTTTTTTAATGGTTAAAAGATTACGATATACATATATGTAATTAGGAGGTTATATTTTGTGCAATTCAATTCGTTTAATATCAGATTTTGTTGAAATGTTTGTTTCGTGGGTAAAATAAAAGTCCTTTACTTGTCAATTTGATTTTAATATCCTACAAATTTGTTTAAGTAATTTTTTATATTTATATTTCTATTTTTGTGACGTTATTATGCTATACCTATTCGCAAAACAAAAATAATAAATTTTTATTGTTGATACCTACAGCCAAACATGTTTTAATATGACTAAAATACAATTTGTTAAAGATACCAATCACAGAACGAAATTAAAATATTTTATTATAGGCAACCCAAAATCCAGCAAAGGTATAACAATACATAACTTCAACTAAAGAAAATCAGTTCTTCGAATACTGGTTAGTAACTAAATGAATAAAAAATAAATAAAAAAAAATAATAAAAAAATAATAAATACAGTCGTAACTAAATAACGTAACTAGCTACATTATCTAAATACTTTTTATGTATCTGCGTTTGTATCTAGTTATTTATCCCAATCTGGTAAGTAACTACAACTGTAACTAGTTACTTATTTTAAGTATCTGTTGGTGTTAAGATGCAAAGATACATTTTTTAATTAAATACATATACCTACAGGGACTATTATATATTGAAACACGATAAACACGTAAACATTATAAACATAAAAATGGACAATCGAAAAATAACGAAAAATATCTTTTGCTTTTTGATGTGAACATGTGAAATAAATAATAGTCTATTTGCATAATTTGTCATTTAAAATTTTGTAACCCAATATTTCTTGTGGGAAAAATTATATTCTGTTACCTAGTGTATCATTAATTTTATTTAAATATACCCACTTATGCAAATATTTTTGAAAACGTTAAATTTGAGATTAATTAATTGTTATTTATATTTAATTGTGTCTATGGCACCTAAACAACTTAAATTATAATATAAAAATACCGATTTGATGAGCAATGGACTTCTGTCAGATCTATTTAACCTTACCTTCTACTTTTAATAATAATACGTTTTAACAAAACGGTTTTATGTATTAATACAATTGTTTAACAAATGTATTAATACAATTGTTTAACAAATGAAATTGTGATTTTAATAAATTGTTGTATGCAATTTGGTCAAGAATTTTTTTTGGCCCTATGACATAAAAAAACTATCATAAAATGAAGTTGAGTCAGTTTGATAGTAATAAAATAATTTCACTCCAAATTTGTATGTTTTAAACTGCCAATGTAACGAAAGTAAAAAATATAAATGAAAGTAACGTTTTCTTTGCATTGCTGTTTACTTTTTATATAAGATTTAGTTTGATTTTTTTTTAAATCGTGAACAAGATATTAATCTAAATGTAGGAATTCCTATTAATAGTAGTAAAATATTAATTTATTATTTAATTAAACATTGCATAATGTTAATAAGAACTGCATTTTCGGGTTGAGTAAATATTAATTTTGTCAATTAATGCTAGAAACATTCTCAGGGATTAAACTGAAGAGACGAAACGTCGCACCCTAGTCCAAATCGGACTTGAACTTGGCCAAAACCCTAAAAATATACTTAATAATAATTATTAAGTATATAATTAAATGGAACTGCCTAAGGAAGTAGGTAATAATTATATAATTATTACCTACTTCCTTAGGCAGTTCCATTTTATAAAATGCTATACCCCGTTTTTTAATCGGTTGCTGACAGTTCTTTTGTGTTGATTTTAATTGTACAACAAAATATTTCGTTAACGCCGTGTTCAATTTTAACAGTTCAAAATGGAAAATGTTTTTGATTTGATAAAATTACATTTTCAAAAAAAAAAAATAAAATTCTGTTAAAAGTTATATTAACGTATGGGTGAATATATTGAAATGTCCCCCAAGTAAAAATGATTATTTTTTATTTTTGGTTGTTTCACTGTTAGTCTAGAATGGGGTTTTTAGGAAGCCACCAGGTCTAGTAATAACATAACATAAGTGGTTCTGCACTAATGCAAGAATTTTAAGAAATCATACATTTTGAATATTAGAGCTTCACGGAGGTTAGGATGTTTTTTTAAAACATTCCTTTGTTTATTTGAAATAAGTTATTGTATCTTTTGACACCTTAATATTTTTTAAAAATACAATTATACATACATAAAATATTTAAAAAAACTACTTACTGAGATATTACACTTCACGGTGGATAGGTTTTTAAATAGAAAATTAATGACTTTAAACTTTTGAATTATAAAACAGCAACACTCTTATCTGCATATAAATTCTAACTGACCTTCAGGAATCACATGCATCTATAATGTCGTAAACAGAGGTTTTTGCTTATTTAAAATGATTAAAGCGCCATCCGTTGCATAAAATTTAAAGAAAAAACGGATTCACGGAGGATAGAATCAATTTTTGTAACACCTACATAAATGGTTATAAAAATTATATATTTTAATTTTTAATAATATTTTATATTTCATTTGTTTAATTTACTTAGTGAACTGATATTTTTAGTATGCTTTTACTACCTCAGATATTTGAAAACATATAGGTTAACCTAGAAAAATCTTTGTACTGCATACAAAATTAAAAAAAAAATACATAAAAACACATAAAAAAGCTGTTTTAATTCAATAAATAATTGGTTTACTAAAAATAGTATTAAGGTGAGGTGGGGTAATTGTGATGTAAAATTTGACTAGTGTAACTTTAAAGATCTATTAAAATTTAATTTTTATTGCAAATATTGTGTAAAAATTCCTGAATAATCCTTGGTCCTTCACCAAACGATATCTATAACCTAAACAATAAATCGATACAGGGGCTACCTGAAAATTATTATTATTTTCTTTTATGTCAATGTATCACATTTGCCCGAGATTTTGGGGCAAATGTGATAATGGACCGTTCCTTACTTCCAATGGAGGTATCTGTGGGGTAAATGTAAAAATCACAATTTTTCTGTAAATTTTGCTTTTTGAATCATTTAATTATTACAAAAAATAAGAAAGTTATTCTACAAAAACATAAAAAATTAAAAATATAAAAAACTTAACACAAATTGTAGCCGTCAAACTTCAGTGGAAAAATATACTAGCTCTAACCGGCTCAAGTAGATCAGGGATGTAAGTTTTATCAGTTTGGTACTAAAGAAAGCAATTTTAATGTTTTTTTTTTTAAATTTTACCATGTAATATCACATTTGCCCCATTTTTACATTTACCCCACTCCACCTTATTTAATTTAAATAACATGTTTTATAGGAATAATTCACTTTATTAAAAAGAAAAAAGCAATTTATTAAAATAGGTGTTAAAAATAAAGAATAAAAGTTGATTTTTTATAATATTAAATCAATTTATTTCTCTTAAAAATTTAAAAAGTTTAAATTAAAATAACAATTATTAATTTATAAAGAACATGATTATTTTGATATCAAATTCGTTATCAGCGACCCCAAAAACCCAATAATGAACATTTTCTGTGCCATAAACAATTTTTTTTCAAAAAAGTCCGCCATTTTAACTTTGATTATTTCCCTCATTATAATATGAACCAATCAAAAGCCTTGAATTTTCGAATAAATTTAGTTTAAATAAGCGATTAAATCACTAGAACTATTTAACAGCGATTAAATTTTAGCCTCCATATTGGATTTTTGTTTACGATTTTATGGTGTTATTTACAAGTTTTAACAAACATTTTTTAAAAAACAATAAAATATAAGTTATTTAGTTTACGAAATATCAATTATTACTTATTAAATACCTTAAATTAATGGAATTTTCTTTAAAAAAATATTTATAAATTTCGACACATACGTCAGATTTTATGAATTGTCAAATAGTTTCCTTTAATTCGAGAAATAATGTAGACGTATAAATTTATTCTGTCAAATTATGCTCAAGTTTTTTATTTGATTTTTCTTTTTGGAAAATAGTTTCATGCAAAATAATTACCGCTACGCGGTCTCGTGATTTTATTAAATTATTTTGCATTCAACATTTTCCAACAAAAACCAAACAAAAAACTACTGAGCCTAGTTTAACAGATTAAATTCATATTTCTCGTGATATAATACATGATAATTTTTTATATTAAATTTGTGATCAGCGACCCTAAAAACCCAACAATAAAGATTTTCAGGGCAATAAAATTATTATTTTCCCCCATTTTTGGTCCGCCATTTTCAATTTGATTATTTTATTATCAAATTCTTGATCAGTGACCCCAAAAACACAAAAATTACCAATACTTACTAAGATTTTCTTGAATGTTTACTTTAAAATAATTTAAAAAAACTAAAGATTTATATGTTTGTGTAAGTAGGGATATGAAACTATGAACGTGTATTTACATATTTATTGTATATAAAGTTACTTATAAAATAAGACATAATGTAGACATTAAATATTACTTCACAATGTTACGAAGAACTTATTTACAATAATAAACGAAAGCAGTCAACACATTTCTAATATTCTCACAGTAAAAATAATTTATAAATGTAGAAAAATACAAAAACATTTTTGTTTATAAATAAGTGCAGTAGCAGGCATATGGCAAGGTCGCCAAAGTGGACACACAACGTCCTTGAGAAGAATGACAATGACTTGTGACGAAATCGAACAGATTCGTGAAAAGAAAAGTGAAAAGAACCACCTTGTGATTTTAATATTCGTACATTCGTTATGTGCCATTGTTACGTAAGAAGGCGTGACCGTATTTTCATGATATCGAGCACACAGCACTTTCACCAACAGAGGTCACTCATTCGTTTAACGAATTGTCTTTGATTATTAGGTGTATTAGAACTGGATGTTGTGTCCTCTCAAGAAGGCATCTATCTGACTAGACGCGAGCCCGTCCAGCTGAGGCTGGCTGATGTAGTAGACGGGCTGTTGGGGCTGTTCCTGAGTAACAGGGGCTGGTCTTTGCGGCTGACCTCTGGCCCTTGTCTGCTGCGCGTACAGCTGCGCCGAGTTCTGGTACTGTATCTCGGACTGTTGCTGTTGGTACGCGGCTTGCGGTGTCTGCCTTGACGGGGCCGGGGTCGGTTGGTACAAGGCGCTTTGCAGCTGGGATGGGGTGGGCTGCGGGCGGAGGTTCTGCGAATACAGCGGGCTCTGCTGCTGAAGCTGCTGTATGTTGACCACTTGTCTGTTGGGTTGGTGGACGTACGGCTGGATTCTTTGGTTTAGCGTGAAGTCGCCTTCCGTTTGCGGCAGGGTCTGGTACAGTTGGGTGTTGTATTGGCCCGAGCTCGGGTCGTACACCAACGCTGATGAGTACACGTTGCCTCCTGGTTGTTTCGCTGCCGGTTGCTTCGATGATAGTTTAGAGCTGGGGGTGGACGATGCGATGTGGTTGCTGTTGTCTTGGAATCTCTGGAATTCGGCGTCGAAATCGATGTTGCCGCTTCCTCTGCTTGGCGCGATGGTGGATGAAGGGGATGACAGCTGCTTGGTGTACAACAATGAAGACGGTCTTGGGGTGACAGCAACTTGCAGTAAATGTGGCCTGTAAGTAGGGTTGGGATAGTTTCAGAAATTTCATTGAAAGTTTCGCAATTTACTGAAAATTTCGCATAAATTTCACATGCGGCTTCCCCTGGGACCTTTAATAATAATTTACAACAGATTCCGAATCGACCAATAAGAACGAGTTATCAAGCGTCTGGCCGTTTTTGTTTAGTTCGGCTTGGATTTGAATACACTATAAGTAATTATTGTTACTTATATGCATAAATTAATTTAAATAATTTAATTTAGTTACCAATTTAATTTGTAAATTAAATTAGACTTTAAATTTTTTTTAAGTCATGATTAATTTAAACTTTTACTTTTGCTATAATTGCATCGGAAAACGGATAAAAAATGCCTTTGGCTCATAAAATTTTGATGAAGTTTCTTCAATTTTTGTAAAATTTCAGTAAAATATTTAAAAATAATAAATACAGGGTGTTATGTAATTAATGTTATATATTAAAATACTGAATACCTTTTGACCAAAGGAATAAAGGAACAATATTTTAAAAAACATTTTTTCAAAGATAAAGAAAAAATATGCATTAGAAGTTTTTTATATTTTTTGTGATACGCCACTGGTTACACACTTGGTTTATCTCGGCACACTTGTATTTTGTGAGTGCATAGATACCAACCAACAAAGTAGCTATGCGTTGCCAGATGTAAAAAATTGTTACTAAAAATTTTTCTTGCAAAAAATAAATAAAAACTCAATAAATACAAAAGTTTTATGCCCTTAAAGTTCTAATACCCTTCTGTATTTATTTACTGATCCAGCTGATTAGCTTAAGCAATGATTAGAAAATTTAGTACCTTTGAAATTTGAAATCCATAAGCACAAAATTAATTTTTTCATCAGTTTTTTTCTCTGTTTACTCAGATGAAATTGGGACCAGTTCACAGGTTAAACTTTAAACATTTAATTTGTGTAAATAAATCCAAAAGCACTTCCCTTAGTTAAGATATTTACAATTTGAAAACATAACCTAAAATTTAAAAGAAATGCACTAGATTCTGTCATAAAAGTTGGCAGATTTTGTTTGAATTTACCTTCAGTACAAAAATGACATAACCAACAATTAATAAAAACGCTAAATTGACAATTTGCATTGTTAATTTTGTCATTTTTGTAATTAAGCTAAATTTAAACAATATTTGTCAACTTTTTTGAGAGATTTTGGAAACACTGTTGTTACCAACCATAACATAATAAATCCACCAGATTTTTGGTAGGATAAAGGTTATTATAAATTATTTTTAGACTTTGGAATTTAGAAAAAAAAGTTTCAGGTGCTTCTTTATGGACCCTAAGGAACAACCCATTTTAATATATAACATTAATTACATCAACCTGTATATACAAATATAAAACAATGAAAGTGGCACAATCTCATTAGCTTACCAAAAAGTGCTATATCTCTTTTAGTTTTAGTAACTTTAAAAATATTTTAAAAGGAAATCTCAAGAAATTTGGTAAACATACGTATTTACTATTTATATTATTGGTGCAGGGACCCACAGAGGGGTAGGAGGTAAGAGAGGCAATTTGCCATGGTCCCCGAGTGGACTTATTTCAATATTAATATATTACACTTAAAGTGATTGAAATTTATTGAAAGTTTCAATAAATTTCATAAATTTTGTGAAATTTCAGAAATTTAGGAAATTTTAATAAATTTCATAAAAAGTTAAATTTTTCCAACCCTACCTGTAAGTGGTGGCTGGGAGTTGAGATCTGGCAGTGGTGGAGGCCGAAACTGGCCTGGGGGTGATGGTCAGTGGCGTGCTGTGCCTGTAGATCACCGAAGCTGGGGTTGTGGATGAGACTGTTGGGCGGTGGTACTGCTGAACTTCTTCTTGCTCTGCAGCGGTGGATTGATCGAGATACTGTGGGCGGGTGATGTAGGATGGGCGGCGAATATGCTGTAAAAACAATTTTGGCAATCACATTGATCTGTCAGGAAGCAAATTACTTTTTTTTTTTTCAAGCGGCCATGATATACAACCTTATAGAGATAGTTGAAGTGCGTCTTTTTCATTAGCGGCAGACAAAAAACTCAAAAAAGCCTAGGGATAGAAGTAAATCCATAGGTGACTCAATAGACGTCAAATAATAAAATTAATTTAGCATTTTATACAAAGCATCACGATTTATTAATTATATTAATTATAATCGCACGGAATATTTAGTGATTATTTATTAAATTTTAATTGAACGAAATAAAGAACAATTAGTTTATTAGTATAATATTATGATGATAGACGAGTCGCCAATGTCGGAACTCCAAACAAATGTCAGTACGTCAAAATTAATTCAAGCGCAGCATTTTGACAGAGCAGTGTTTATTTTTAGTTTAGGATATTTATCGGCATTGTAAGTCCTTACTTAACCCTTGTTATAAGTTTTTTTAGCTTTTATCAATAATTTCTAATGCTTTTAGCCAAAATTTTATACCACATGGGATATGTGTAAATAAAATAATTTTATTGCTTATCCTATTTATATTATTTTATATTTATTTTTATTGCTTATCCTATTTATATCACAGTATACAATTTATATTACGCCCTTGAAAAAAAAATTGTATACGAGGTGTGTTCAGAAAGTGTCGGGAATTTTCGTTTTTTTGAAACAAATATTTATTTATTCGTCTACATTAATGTTGTCGCCTTCAAAATAGTCCCCATTGGATATTATGCACATGTGCCAGCTCTTCTTCCAATACTCGAAACACTTCTAAAACTCGATCTTTGAGATAGCCTTTAGTTCTTTCAGCGATGCGCTTTTAATGTCATCTATGCTTGCAAAACGACGGCCCTTAAAGGTTCTCTTTATTTTTGAGAATAGGAAAAAGTCAGACAGAGGCATGTCTGACGAATATGGAGGCTGGGGCATCATTACAGTATTGTTTTTGGCCAAACATTTTGTTCAAAATTTAACAATTTTGGAACAAATTTTGCTGCCACGCGTTTCATACACAAAACATTTGAAAAAAATTCATGGGATGAGCCAATCGATGTACCAGCGACTTCTCTGATGGTTTATAACCATTTCTTCCACTTTTTCCATGTTTTTATCGGTTTTAATGTGCTTGTGAGTTCAGGGCGTTCGTCATTTTCAACATCTTCACGGCCATCTTGGAAACTCTGATTCCACTTGTAAACTCTTGTTTTACTTATAGCAGACTCACTATAGGCCTTTGTTAACATTTCACAGAATTTATTTCATTTTTTAAGCAAAATTTGATACAAATGGATCAAAGACCATTTCTTTTAACGAACGATAATCGCCGAGCTCATAAAACACGTCTAACCTTAGCGGCTGCCACAGACAAAGTAAACAATGAAAAGCTAAAGTTTTTATCATACTTCGGGGGCATGTATACCAACATAATAAATAAAATTTTATGACAACCGGACCCTCCGAAGCCGCGAAATTTAACAATTCTCGTTATTTTCTGAACACACCTTGTATGTTATTTGGAGTAGAAGCTCTTTTTGTGCTTCGTACAGTTGCCTACCTCAGCTACGCTTCGGCCGTCAATCTCTGTACTCACCACAAAAAGAGTCACTTCTACTCCTCATAAATGACATAATCTACTATTTCTATTTGGCCTCTAAATGTAACTATGATTTATTAATTTAATAAATGGTGTGTTATTTATTGTTTCCTGTCCGTAAACTTTTAAATAGTGAAAATGATAAACAGGTTGCTATCAGATTGTTACAGATTATGTTTTTACTCAATTATCCGAGAACTGAAAGTATAACTTTCCTCATACTAAATGCGTACCCACACTAATTCTATAAATTAATAATGATGGTAAATAATACGTTCGTAGTTAATGGCCTATTGTAATTTAAAACAATTGTAGTAAAATTATTTCATACTTATGTTGGCATTTATTTTATAATATTTTCTAATGGATTTTCACTTATGCAAAATTTGATTTCATTCAAGCTTGAAATAAGTAGTTGTTAGACCTGTTTTGTGTCAACTTTTCCTTTCAATTGAGAGATTAAGTTTAACGGTTAAAACTTGACCATCATTTGCATTTAGCAAAAGCAGTGTAACATTTAGGGCCGGTTTTTCAATCATAGTTTAAACTTGGTTCAGCATTTGAACTTGGTTCAAACAAAATATGCCGTTTTTCAATCCAAGGTCAAACTTGAATTTGGTTTAAATCAAAAGATAAACCGTCACTGTTGGCCGTTTAAACGAAGTTCAACTTGACTTAATTTTTCTCTGCTTTATTGTGTATTACGTTGTTTATGTCTTGTTTTGTGATCTGCTGTTATAATAAACCAATGGATATGTTTGAGGTAGTTAGTGAGGATGATGAGGAAATTGGCGAATTCCTAAATAATATTCAACTTCGTGTGCACAGGCCACGGGTAAGACCGAATCATTTTGGAAGGTGAAATAATGATGAATTTTTTGCCAGATTTCGGTTTTCCTTACCTTTTGTACGTAGGATAGTGGATTTTATTAGACCAGTTATTGCAAATCCGATCAGTAGGTTATTTATAAAAATAATTACTAAAAGGGTAATAGATTTTAGTGAAATTGATCACATGTAACAAAAAACGACGAATTCATTTTATACTATAAAACGAAATACATACAAATAATTCCTCCTTAAAAGAGGTAAAGTTGGCAGCACGATTTTTATCCATAATAAATAATAATTATTGTTCTTTAACAATAGTAAATTCTTTTAAAGCAACCTTTCGCACAGATTAGAACTTTTTAAAACAGCACAGATAAACAAAACTCCAAAAGTAAACACAAAATCCTTTTGTCAACTACTATTAATGTAGGCGTATACTAAATTCGGTTGTACCAACTTAACGTTGACACCGCTGATCTAAGTTCAACAGAACTGCTGTTGAGTGGACATTGAAAAACTCATTTGACTGTGAACTGAGTTCATTAAGGGCCGGTTTTTCAATTGGGGTTTAAACTTTGGTTCAGGGGAACTTAGATCAGTAGGATTTTGCGTTTGTTTACTTTTGGAGTTTTGTTTATCTGTGCTGTTTTAAAAAGTTATAATCTGTGCGAAAGGGTGCTTTAAAACAATTTACTAGTGTTAAACTACAGTACTTAATTACTATTTATTATGGATAAAAATCGTGCTGCCAACTTTACCTCTTTTAAGGAGGAATTATTTGTATGTATTTTGTTTTATATTATAAAATAAATTTGTCGTTTTTTGTTACATTTTATGAATTTTACTAAAATCTATTACCTAAACTGTCTTGGACTATCTTCATCTTTGATTCTTTTATAACACAACGTTTCAATCAACTATCTGTGATCGTTTTCAAGTGTAGAATGATCAAATTTCCAAATGTAAAAACTATAACAATTTGAACATTTGATCATTCTACACGATCACAGATAGTTGATTGAAACGTTGTGTTATAAAAGAATCAAAGATGAAGATAGTCCAAGACAGTTTAATTCATAATCATACTTTATCTACCAACCTCAAATCTATATCTATTACCTATTCAGTAATTATTTTTATAACTAACCTATTGGTCGGATTTGCAATAACTGGTCTAATTAAATCCACTATCCTACGTACAAAAGGTTTGGAAAACCGAAATCTGGCAAAAAATTCATCATTAATCCACCTTTCAAAATGATTCGGTCTTACCCGTGGCCTGTGCACACGAAGTTGAATATTATTTAGGAATTCGCCAATTTCCTCATCATCCCCACTAACTACCTCAAACATATCCATTGGTTTATTATAACAGCAGATTACAAAACAAGAAATAAACAACGTAATACACAATAAAGCAGAGAAAAATTAAGTTATGTCAAGTTGAACTTCGTTTAAACGGCCAACAGTGACAGTTCATCTCCAATTCATAACCTTAAAATCTTAATATATTTATAAACAGTTGTATTTACTAGTGTTTAGAATTTATCTGGTGAACATGAATTTTGATCCCCTTAATTTAGATCTTATAAGGCGTCCTAAAATTACTTTTTTTCTTTAAATTTAAATATTTTGTTTTTAAAATATCTCCTTCCCTGTGGATTCCCGTAGAAAAATCAAATTCTTGAGCTTGTTTATCCCAAGTTTCTTTTTTTTTGCTCCAAGTTACTACCCCACTCTGTTTATTTTCTAATATATCTTCATATTTATTTACTAAGTTAATTAGAGTTATTTCTTCTGTTTCATTAAAATATACAAACAGCACTTATATTTTATTATTCTACAAAATTTTTTTTTGGTTCTTCTGAAATCATTGGACGTTAAATACTAGTAGCTGGTTAATAAGGACTATGTCCAGGACCATAAGGGCGGTGGTTAAGCCATAAATCCGCTCTAGTTGAAGAAAAAGAAGTATTTTTAATAAAAATAATAATAAAAAAAATTATTCTACATTTAATGTAGAATAATTTTTTTTATTATTATTTTTATTAAAAATACTTCTTCTTCTTCAACTAGAGCGGATTTATGGCTTAACCACCGCCCTTATGGTCCTGGACATAGTCCTTATTAACCAGCTACTAGTATTTAACGTCCAATGATTTCAGAAGAACCAAAAACCATTGGACAACTGATGTCTAACAAACACGTGGACACAAATAGGTTATGTAACCTTAAAAATTTATATAAATTCCTCTTATCCATTGTACAAGGACCAATCGAGGAATATTATCAAGAAACAGGAATATTTATATTCCGGGAATCCAATTTTGTTCCTCCTAGGTCGAAGAGTCACCTATATTTCACACTTTTCATTGAGCGGTCCGTACCCTAGCACCAACAAAATCGAACTCCTATTAAAAATACAGCGAAACTTCAGATTTTGGAGGTTAAACACAATACAGTAGTTCAAATTCACGTTTTTTTACTGCCAACCTGACAAAATATATAGCTAACCGATGTTTAGTTTACCTCCGTTAAAATTTATATTGAAAAACGCTCGTTGTTTAACTTACAATTAATTTCAAGGTGAAGGTTTGTTAATTTGAAGTTTAACTTTACATTGAAGAACCGGCCCTTAATCATTTAAATCCTAATGACCCACCTGTGGTCTTAGAAGTTGTTCTGGCTCGGGTTGCTCATCCTCTTGGGCGTAGGTGTTCTGGAACAGGGTCTGCGCAGGTTTGGGCGCTGGGGTTTGAATGGACAAAGGCCTAATCCTTTGCACGGGCCTGGTTGGGTAGTTGGCTGGCCCGCTATCCTGCTCCGCGCTTTCCGGTTCCGCTTGATCATCTTGGTCCTTGGGAGCGTTAGGGTCGCACGGGTTTCCGGATACGTAGGTGAACTCCCTTTTGTTGCCATCCGGGTCGACGTAGCCGTATTTACCTCTCACCACGCAGTCGGTCCCTCTGGTTTCCTCTTTGAAGCTGCCGTCCGCAGCTTCGTAGCCGAAGGTGAAGGATCCGTCGTCGTTCACCTTGTTGTAGTTCCTGATGGTTTGCACCGGCGGGGCCTTCACAGCCTCCTTCGTTTTGACAGCGTGTGATTTGGCGTGTCCTCGGGGGATGTAGTTGTCTTGCGCTACTCTCGGAGAGGCCGTAGGTTGTCCGTACAAGCCGTTGTATTGGTCGGCGGAAGAAACTAGAACCACCTGACGTTGATCCTCTTGCGGTTCAGCTGCGTAGTACTGAATCGACTCGTCTTCTTGTTCATCTTCCACCGGTTGAACACGAACCCGTCTTGCTTCTATTTGGCATAGGATGGCCGTTCCAAATACTAGAAGAGTTATCCACTGAAACAAGAAAGTATTAATACAGCTTGTTCAGAGTAAAACCGAATATATCTATATATATATGGGCCGTGACCTCGCCTCCCTCCAAGGCGCGTCACAGTAGCTTGTGTGATAAACGACATGACGAAAGGTCGAGCAGGTAAGGACTTAAAAAATTAAATGATAATAATGCAAAAAATCTCATTAGCGATGCAGGCTATTTGCTTAGCTACTGTGTCGCTCGTAGAAGGGAGGCGAGGCCACGCCCCATATATATATATATATAGATATATTTGGTTTTATTCTGAACGGGCTGTATATTATGAGAATAAATATATCTTGAACTTGAACAGATATTTTTAGTACGTGATGTAATCAATAATGTTATGATTTCGAAATTGCGTTAAAATAAATTCGATTACCAAACTGCATTTTTTGTTTCAATTAATGTTTATCTTGTAAATGATTATTGTGTACGTATTAAGCACTCCTTTTTCCTTGAAACAGCATGATCGCCCATCAGGTTTCCTATTTATTCAACAACAACAAACAAACTGCATTATCAGCAATTGCAAGTTGGATGGAATATCAGCAACTTGCTTTGTTGTAGTTAGACTTTAATAATGCAAAATTTCTGAATTGCAAATATATGTAGAGATTAATTAGGAAGGTATGCACACTCGGAGAAAATAGTTTTAGTTCAGTTCAGATTTGTAATATATATATCCAAATTTCATATGCAATTCAAAGGTTACAGATTATTTTCTTAATGTTTAACAGATTATTTCGTTGACACTGACAATGCGCATCAACCAGTTCAACTGACTTCAGCGTTTGCAACTTATGTTTCTGTTTACTTTATTATAATTCGTAACGTGTTCGTAACAACTGTCCAGAGTGTTTATAATATATTACTAGAAATCTGTTATTATTGTTATTCGTATTTCTTATACCTATTTAACGAGTGTGCAAAGTACAAAGAATCCGAAAATAGATGCCATCACTGGTTTTTAAACTGAAATTAGGGAATACAGTAAAGTGGGTTAAAGTTACGAAATATAATTGTACCAAATTTCTTTATAATTTGATGATTTCAAAATGATGTGTTATTTAATTGTGTGTATGTAATTTTTGTGTTCATTTATGTAGGTATGTGTTAATTTTTTTGTTTAGGAAATTAATTAATAAAACAACATTTCTTATCAAAATTCTTTCATTTAAGATCCCAATTTCCAACAAATACTTTTGTTACTGGGTCTATAAAGAGGTTTGTAAAAATAAGGTCGTTTTTAAAAATTATAAAAATTATGGTTGAATTATTGAAAGGATTTTGTTATTAAATCTACAAGATGTTTGTTATAATTACAAAACTACTTATTTAATTAGTTAACAGATTAGTAAACTTAAGATAAAGTTATGTGGACCTGTATTAACATAAAATATGGTTAATATCTGGTTAAAATTAACAAATATTTTTTTATTGTGTGTGTGTAATTAATTACGTAATTTAAAGTATTTTTTTAACATTAAATGTTAAATGTCTTTATTGTTGGGGCATCTATGTAACGTCAAAAAATAATCGATACAACAGATCGATTAATAAAAAAATAATTATTCAGATATTTCGAATATTTTAAATTCATTTTCACTCTATTGTGATACTATACACGGTGCTGTTCTGAGAGGTGATTTTTGGACTTTCTGTGAAACCTAATTTTTTTTATATTCTTGTTAATTAGGTCATATCTAAGAATTTAAGAGCAAAATAAAAAAAACTGACGGTTTGAATTGTTTTAATTGGCTGTTTATTAAAAATATGATGCACTCTTTCAATTATCCAATTAAAACTAGCGATTTAATTTAAATATTTAATATTTGCATAACTAAAAAAAAGGTTTTTACAATTTTTTTTTATATATTTTACTGTCTTGTTGCAATAAACGTTCAAACTTTTAATATAACTAAAAAAAAGGTTTTTACAATTTTTTTTTATATATTTTACTGTTTTGTTGCAATAAACGTTCAAACTTTTAATCTAACCTTTGACGTATACTGCCCTACTATAGAGAAAGGCAGTAACTGCAAAAAAATGCAAAATGCGTTTTCTTGTGCTATGGTAAAGCTATGGACATTTTGTAACCGAATTCAACACAGAAATGCAGTCAAATATCTCATAAGTTAAAAAAATCAATTAAATACCTAGGTACTGCTTTTTATAAAAATGTAGTAGGTATATGCTAATTTTCCACAAATTTCTTGTTTAGCAGTTACTGCCTTTCTCCATAGTAGGCCAGTATACATTTATGTTCCCTTAATTAATATATCCTTAAAGGTTGCCATGAAACTTAGATCTATTAAAAATTTATTTGACGTTTGAATTGTCATTTTCAGTATACGTATTCTATAATTTTTGTTCTCTCAGAATCGCAAGTTTTAATTGGAGAATTGAAAGTGTGCATACATATTTTTAATAAACATCCAATTAAAACAAAATTAACCGTCAAATTTTTTTATTTTGCTCTTAAAATTTTAGTTATGACCTAATTAACAAGAATTTAAAAAAAAATTAGGTTTCACAGAAAGTCCAAAAATCACCTCTCAGAACAGCACCGTTTATAGTATACAACTGATTATATGAATGAAAAATTTCATATTTTTTGTTTATTTTTAGTTTAAAGTAACAATTTGTTACTAACAAAAGATTAATTGTTATGATAGGAATAATTAAAAAATAAAGTCAAGGTAAGTGAAACCATGAACTTTATGAATTTAATTATAGAAATAAATATACCTACTTCAGTATATCATGGTTTTAGAATTATATTTTTTGTTATAAAATACCAGGCTGTTATAAAATTATGCATCGACCATTTAATGATGTCATAATTAGTGCTTGTGTTTAAATACGAACCAATTAAATTGGAGTTGCAAACACTATTTAAAAAGTTTGTAAATATTGCTTGCCCCGCCTCTTTTCGTTTCTTCTTAAAAAAAGGCGTTTTAAGTATTGAGAGAATAATGTCATAAAAAACAGATATATTTAATAAAGAAATCTTTCCTGATAGCACAATTTATTCTAAGAATGTTTTTTAAACCTTCCATATTCTAAGGATCATGCTATATTTCTTCTAGGCATGTTCTAAGAATGGTTTTTAAACCTTCCAGTAAGAATATTATTAGGATCATGCTATATTTAAAAGAAATATAGCATGATCCTAAGAATATTCTTACTGGCGTTTAGGCAGGTTCTTAGAAGGTGCAAAGTTTTAGTGGTAAAAATTAGTCTACTCTAAACATGCTTAGAATGTTAAGAAAGTAATTGGTATAGAAAGTTCATTTAGGAATATTCCTGTTAAGCATATTCAGTTCAGTTATCTATATAATAGTAAAATATACCATAAACTACATACAAAAGAACAAAACAAATTTTTTTCTCTATCAATTTGTGTATTAGGTATATATAATATACATAAATAAATGTTAAAATGGTGACTGTATTGTTACGTTACATAACAAATAAATGTAGTACTATATTTATTTGTTTCAAAAATTATAAAAAAAATATTACAAAGCTCTCATATTATTTTTTTTAACAAGCCAAAAATTACCATTTTTAATATATACATTAATATCTACTTATATGTAGGTATAATTTTACTAAATAACTATATTTAATTTTAGATGCAGTGCAAGAATTTGACCATACCTGTACCAAAAAGCAAATTGAAATGCATATTGGATATTGGTTAACAAAATCAAAAGAGAGATTAAAACAAATTCGTATTTAAATTTAAATGATTTGTTTTTAGAATATACTGTTTTATGTTTTTCTATGAAGAACTATTTGGTTTTTTCTTTTATAAAGAATAATTATTATTTTATAAAAAAATATTTTGTTTTTTTTTATATTTTATTTTATGTTAAAAATAAATATTTATTAATTTGTATACCGATTTTTTATTTCTGAATTAACATTTGTATGTATAATAATCCTAACTATCTTCAACTTCAATCTAATCTGACTTATCCCACAAAATTTTCCAATTTTACTTTTTATGAAATAATTTCATACAACTTATGGTTTAGAGGTTAAATTGTTTATTTAATATTTTTAAATAAATACAGTGAGGCGTATTTGTCGTCTCCTGAAGAATTTTACGAATGTGGAATAGAACATATTAGAACGTGGGCATCTGACATATTTGGGAATATTCTTAAAATGTTCTTAGGATGCTTTTTAGGAAGGTTTTAAGAAGCTTTTAAGAATCTAATTGCACCATTAAAAGGGTATCTATATTTCATTATTCCGGGTCATATCTTCTTAGAAGATTCTTAAAATCAAATTTTGCTATCAGGGTTACCGGTGTTTTGAAAAGATCTAACCTTAATAAAAACTGCTAATTTTAGCTGTGATATAAAATCACCAATTAGAGGAAGAAGAATGAGTACCCACCGATATACCAAATAAATTTTATATTGGTGTGGGATGTGTCGAACTATTGAAAATCTAGCAACCTTAGACGACAAAACAAATCTGTTTGGAAAAACAAAAGTTCATGAACTGCTCTGCAGTAGCGAGGCGTGTTGATTCCTTTGGCCGATACAATGTTGTCGACATGTCTGAGCACAAAGGATCGTGAACAACCTACAGGTCCCTCGATTTTGAAACGATACCACTATAACCCACTGATTAGTCGATTGAAAGCAAACATGATCCCTATACCAAAGATAATTAAATATTGTGTACCAATTCGCCTTTCGAAGGCGTAGGAAACTTCAGTGGCTGTGTTTGAACACATGTTGGCATAATTTTACATAATGTGGTTATTCAATTTGTGTAATATAATATTTTACTTAATTATACAGTTTTTTACTCGAACAATTATCCATCCATTATTATTATTATTATTATTAAAATATGTACTGCGCAATTGTCATTAAAATAATTAAAAATGAAATAGAAATAGTCAGTATTGCACAAAGAGACTGTGTATTATTATAAAATAATTGTACGTTAAAAT